CGCCCCGGGTCCCCCGGAGCCCCGATGAGCCCCGATGGCCGGAGCACAGCCCGGCGTGCACGCCTTGCAACTCAAGCCCGTGTGTGTGTCCGACGGCCTCAAGAAGGGCACCAAATTCGTCAAGTGGGATGATGTAAGTGTTGGGGCGGCGGGGTGAGCGGCGTGGGGGTGGGGCGAGGGGCGCGTTATGCAATGGGGGCGCTGGGAGCCCGCGGGGGCGCCCCGGTTGGCATCCGCCAGGACAGGTGGCCCAGCGCAGGGGCCTTGCGCGCGCCCCGGTGCCCCTGGGGTTCAGGCGTGGAGGGCTCTCCCGGGTTGGGGTGAGCGGAGTGGGGAGCGAGGTGTCAGTGACCGCTGGAAGAGTTTGGAAAGTGAGGAGCGGGAAGTTGGGACCCGCTGGAAAGCGCCCGAGCGGGATGCAGACGCTCCCCTCTAGGCTCTGGGACGCACCCCCTGAGGACTTGGCCTTGCTCCTGGTCCCACCAGCAATGGACCCAAACTCTGAAATCGTTGAGTGATTTTTAGCCCTCCGTCCGAGCGTGTCTGAGGCCGCCCTTTCGGCAGAGGACACAGCCGTCCAGCCGACAGGTGGTCTTTGATGCCAAACTTCAGCGCCTGGCGCTAGAGCAAGGGACCTTGAGAAGGCCGGGCCGAATGCCCCCAGGAGGACTGGCGGGCACGACGGGCAGGGCGGAGGCTGCAGGAGGGCTCCGTGAGCTTCCCCCCTCCCCTGTCCTCTCGTTCTGCAGATCCGCCAGAAAGTTCCCCCATGCCTTACTTGTACCCTTTCACCAGGGAGAGGCGCCCTGTTGGCATAGGGGTTACTCGTTGGGCTGCTGAGCACCAGGTCAGCAGTTCTTAACCACCCGCTGCTCCACAGCACGAGAAGAGACAGTCTGGGAAACCCACAGGAGTTGTGCTACCCGGTCCTCTAGGGTCATTGTGAGTCTGAATGTCCTCAAGGACAGTGGGCGTTTTTATCAGGTAGGACAGAGCCGAGCCCAGCCAGGATCTCCAGTGCTTCACCTGAGGTCCCAGTGACCCTTCCCCCCACAATTGTCTTCAAAGAGAAGCAGATTAGAAATCCTCTTGGGAGCCTGTAAATCTGCCCTGGGAGGACTTTATTTCATCTATTTTATGTCCTGGATGTCACTCCAATGGTTTGATACGAACAAACCATGGGAATAATTTCAAGCTATCGGGAGCTTAGGAAATTTAGGTCCAAAGAACCAAGACATCTCTTCAGCAGGAGGAATTATAGGAGAATGAAGCGTTCTTTTTGCTGAAAAGATTTCCCACCCAGTAAATTATAGCCTGTTAGCCTCCAGGGTATTTTTCTTTAATCTTCTTAAGTCATTTTCCAGTGTCTGAAAACAATTTAAATATTCCAGGTAGTGAATTCAATTACTTAGCCGAGTGCATCTATGTCTATATTTTGTCTGTTGGGAAGTGCAAACAGAACTTTGGAGTTGGAGCCACAGCTTCCGTGAAAGATAATGCCGGCTATTAAATGCTATAGGCAAGGAATGTAACCATGAAAGGTTTTACCACGGAAGAGCAGACTCTTTTTACACTTTTCTCCTGATGCTCCAGTCTCGTTGGGCTTGATACTTTGGTAAATGGAATAGAATCAAAACAATAATTTTAGACACAGATTAAGTGCATTGTGTGTGCCAGGGTGTGGGGGGTGGGGGTGGGGGAAGAAAAACTGCAGTTCAACAACAAATAAAAGTTTTGCCTATCTTGGGTTCTTACAACAGAGAGCAAATGTGACGAAAGATTAATCGAAACAGTGAGGGGAGAAAGTACTTCACAGAAGGCAAAAGGGAGTTTCGCAGAAGCACTACATTTTCCCCCCTTAATGTGATGATTTAACAACTTTGTTCTGAATGATGGTCCAGAAGTTCTTTTTTGGAAGACAATACCTAGTGTTGCTTTGAAAATGAAGGTCTCTTGCAAACGCATTTGGATACATCCAGGTAGGTGATTTTTATTTTAAGCACAAATCTTTTGTGCTCACTTACATGTGCCAGGCCCTCCACTGGATCCTGTGGAGGTGGTGAAGAAAGTAGACAGATTCTCTGCTCCTGTGGACCGTACCACTGAAGACAGAAAGTTATCAAGAACATCGTGAGAGAGAGATCTTGTGCTTGGGGTGACATGAACAGAGCAGTGCAGGGGAGAAACCACAGGTCAAAATCCGCCTGAAAGAGAAGATGCAAAGAACTACCCCAAAGCATCACAGAAGGGCGTTTCTGGGGAGGGACTATAGGAACAATGTTGGCACGAAGGAGATGCCAGTAGAATCGCAATTCTTTTTTAAGCGAGAACTCCGATCGCAAACAAGGGTCAAGACATCTGGAATATGTGCACTATGCTGGAAGTGCCTTCATGCTCCTGGTTTCCAGGGTGCTCCGTGGACTAGGAGGGGCCCAGGCTTTCACAGCTGTGCTTTATCTTCCTCATGTGTTGTCCCTCTACAGCTTCCAGCTGAAGAATTGTACTTGCGGACTCTTTCATCCACCCTTTAAAAACACCTCTCCAGTTGCTGTCACGGTGATTCCAACTCTTGGTGACCCACTGTATGTCAGGCTGAAGCTCCTCCCGGGGGGTTTCAGGGTGACCTTTCAGAGCAGAGCCTCAGACCTCTTTATTCAAGGCCCCTTTGGTGGGTTTGAACCACCACCCTTTCAGTTAAGTAACCTACTGCGTGTGCCCCTTAGGGAGTTCCTCTTGGCAGTTTAGGTTATTATTAGTTGGCTGTTTGTCTTGCATCTTATGAGACTGGTGTGTTGAAGGCACAAGTTCCATTGTGTCCTGCTGGAAGATAAAGTTCCCTATGGAGTGAGAAGTGTCATTCAGAAAGTGCAAGGCATGCCTAAATTGTTGGCAAATCAATAAAGTCAGCATGTGCCCATGGCTACTGTGAGGCTGAGTCAATAGCTTTAACTCGGAATTAACCAGTCCCGTCAGGCAGCAGGAGCCCTGGTGACACTGTTAGGTACGAATAGCACTGTAACAACAAGGTTATCAGTTCAAAACCACCAATGGCGTCCGAGGAAGCAAAATGAGCCGTTCCCTTTTAGGAAAGACAGTGCTCCTCCCTTAAAGATTTACAGCCTCAGAAACCCACCGGCCCCAATCTACTCTGTCCTCTGAGTTTGCTATGAGTCTGAATTGACTTGGTGCGAGTGAGGCTTTCTTTTGGTTTGCTTCGTTTTGTTTTAAAGAATGGATAACATCTAACCGTCATGGCCAAACCTGGTTCTCCAGAAGGTGTCGAGCACATTAGCCTGTTTCAGTGGTCATATCACAGCATACAACTTTATCCTTGTGTTTCTTTACTGTTCTAGTATTATCAGACTCTGGTGGTGGGAACGTGGGGGTAAAGGACATTGTGGGAAAATTCTGGTGAGAATGGATATTTTTCTGCACAACCTACACAGAAGCTCAGTGAGAACTTTTGTATAATTTGGCAACTGCCATTGGAATTTCCAAATTACAGAGCAAAACGACAGGATGGCAGTGACACGAGTAATGAAGGTGCAGATGGGAAGGGTTCCTGAGGTGGAAACTCAGCAGTAGTCACTTGGGGAAAGGATCCAAGGTGTAGGGAAGAAATAGCTTTTAGATCCACTTTTGGCGACCGATACAGCTTGTGGCAGGGGCGTTAGATTAGAAGGTTAATAAAGTTCTCACCGGCATCAAATTGATGCCGACTCCTAGTGACCCTATAGGGCAGGGTAGAGCTGCCCCGTGAGTTTCTGAGATTTGAACTAACAGAAGTAGAACGTCCCAGTCTTTCTCCCAAGGAGGGGCTGGTGATTTGGAACTTGGGAATCTTGCAGTTTGCAGCCTCACCCTAACCACCACCAGGCTTCTTCCAGAAAGCTAATAGTGCCTCCTCCTTTGCCACTTAAAGCAGCCCAAAGAGCGTAGTGAATTTTCTTCATGACCCTCAGTAAGTACTGTAAAAGGAAGAATGTAACTGTGCCCCCATCAACAGAGTCACTCAAGTTATTTTGAGTTTGTATCAGCATATAATACTACACACAGAAAGAGCCACAGATCTTCTGTCTACTTAAATCAGTGTCCACATAATCGGCATCAGATCAAGAAACAGGACTGCCAGCCCAGGTAGCTCCCACGTGCTCCTTTTTGATGACGATCCCCCCTCTCAAGAGTAGCCGTATCCAGGTCAGTTTTGCCTGACTTTGATTTCAAACAACTCTTGTTATTTTGAATGAAAAGAAAACGACCCCCTTCAGCCTAAATACATTTTGATTATTGCTGAGTTGACCCTCTTGAAAGGCAACAAAAATGACTTTTCTTTAGCTAAAATGGTTCTTCACTCGAGCCATCTTGGTCCCAAGGTGAACCCTGAGAAAGCAGCAGGTGTGCAAATGCTGGGCCGCTGAAATGGTTCAACAAAGCTCTGGTAATTTGGCAAAGAAATGCAATGGCCACAAGATGTCAGGGGCAAAGCAAAGCAGGCTGGTTCAGGGCTGTTGCTGCAGAAGCAATACTTTTTCTCTCCTAGGTTTTCATTCTTCTCTTGCCTGACATTGGCATTCACTGTGTATGAGCACTAGGATTATTCACTCTGCACAGCTGGTATCTTTCATTGGACATTTAAGCTACCAGTAAATAAGGTCAAATTATATTTGCCTGCAGTTACATTTATATGGGAGGGACACTTTTTTTTTTTTTTTAATGTAGTAGCCTGTAGTTAAATGTGTCTGTTCAACCTTGCTTCATGTGACCATGAACAAGAAGTGCCAGCAGAAACTGGAAAGAGACTGATTGTGACTTGTTGACTAGTGTTAGGAGCTTCCTCTAAAATGTCAAATCCTCAATAATGCTCAATGTTAATTTTCTTCTGATCAGTGAGAATGAAAGGTTCCCGTGCTGCTCTCAAACACTCTCCGTGCTCAAATTTCACAATGCTCGCTTTTTCAGTCTCCTCCATGTCACTCACCAACACTTCACTCACTGTCACTGAGTCGAAGCCGACTCATAGCAGCCTCATAGGACAGAGTGGTCCCTTTGGGTTTCTGAAACTTTAAATCTTTATGGGAGTGTAGAGTCTCATCTTTCCCCCAAGGAGGGCTGGTGGGTTTCAGCCACTGACTG